TAGAAGTTCTTAGGGGAGCTTAATCCCCTGGGCTTTCCAAAACAGCCTCTGGAGAGTTCCAGGCGTCAACCACCAGGGGGCACTGTCGTCCCGTGAATGTGGTTACTGATGCACCAAAAGTGGCCAGATGTTTCCATGAAAATCCCAGCCCCCTTCAGCAGCCTCATGGTCCAGCCTTGTCCTGCTCAGGACCCTGTGGCCAGGTCCCCACAGATCACCAGCTCCTGGTCCTAGGGAAACCTCTTGTAACTCAGCCTCTGCTCTCCTCCTCATGGACCCTTAAGAGCAGGGACAGTTCTTGCATTTATTTTCCTGGCTTCTTCCCGCACCCCCATCCCTCCTCCAGGACCTGGCACTGTGCTGGACACATGGTAGGCTTGCAATACCCACCTGGTTGGTTGGTGGATGGATATGTGAAATCCAGTGTAACTGATAAATTGTAGAAAGGAAACTGCCTGAACTTTGAGGGGATGGTGAGAGAGTGTGGAGTGACAGGTCAGAGAGAGGGTTATGGCTGATGGCTAGGGGAAGGGTCATGACTAAACGGGAAAGGGGAAGTGAGAGGCTCAGACAGAAAGGCAATGGTTGTATTTCAGGGCCCGGGTGGTGAAATGCTGCCCAATGCTGAGGTCATCTTTCCCTGGGGCCCTGGGTGGCAGCACCAGGAATATGGGGCAGGTGGGCCCAAGCAGCCCCAGCCATTGCTCAGCTGTCCTCTAGGTGTGCGTCACTAGCCCCCTGGCCATCCTTACCCTCTCCTGTCCATCAGGCTGTGAGCTCCCACGGGTGGGCCTGGATCACACTGCCTTCCTCGGGGGCTCAGCATCCCGAACTCCATCACACATCCTTCGTCCAAGAGAACTTTTTTCAAGAGGAGGCCAGGAATGTGAGAGTCTGTCACAGCCCAGCGTCCTGCGCCCTAATTCCTGCCCTGGGGTGGGCCTTCCCCAGCAGACTGGATCTTTGGGTATAATGAGCAGAGTGGAAAGAACACAGGATGGAGTGAGACGTGCGTTGGATCCCAGCTCTAGGACCCATTAGTCGTGAGAGGCATGGTCTCCCTGGCGAGTTACCGCTCCTTCCTGAGACCCCGCTTGTCATCTGTAAAATGTTCATACTCCCTTGTCCAGGATCAAACAAAAGAGCAAACACCGAGTGTCGGCCCATGGCTTAGGCCTAGCGCAGTGGTCGGCAAACCGCGGCTCAAGAGCCACATGCGGCTCTTTGGACCCTTGAGTGTGGCTCTTCCACAAAATACCACGTGCAGGCACGCACGTACAGTGCGAAGTTGACTTAAAACTTTAAGTAAAGTTTATTAAGTTAATTTTAGGGAACATTGTGGAGTGAAAGATGTAGTGTCGAGGATTGAGAAAGGCATGTTGAGATGGTTTGGACATATAGAGAGGATGAACGAAAGGAGATAGATGAAACAAGTACTGTATACAAGACGAGTGTGGATGGGAAAGTTGGAAGGGGTCGACCTCAGTGAACGTGCCTCAATCTGATTGAGGACATTTTTAGCAAAGGCCAGCTTAGAAGTACCCTGAGTTTGCCGACCGCTGGCCTAGCACAAATGAAGTGCCGCCATCGAAATCATCATCGACACAGCAGCGGCCGTGGACCAGGGGCCCACTGGGCCACAGCAACACCAACTAATGGGGTGAGTGGGTAGAGGATGCAGGAAGCAGGTGTGGCTGGGTGGGATGAGTACAGGGTGGGCTTGCTCACAGCCAAGAAGATACAGCAAACTGAATATCCCAGGAAGTGGGGATGAGAGGGAAGCCAAAGTCTCACCAACAAGACAGCAAGAGCATGAGTGACCAGGCCAGCTCCAAATAGGATCCCCCCGCCCAACACCTGCTGGGGCTTGGGACCTGCGCTTCCACTCTGGGACACAGGACACTGCAGGGTCCCACTCCAGGCTCTGCCTCCAAGCTCCCTCTCAGCCGCTGGGTTTTCCCTCTCTGGTTCCGAGAGCCCCGCTTCCCTCAGTCTCAGCTCACTCTGCTTCACCCGTTGGCAACACTTTTCAGTTCTCCTCCCCCAGCACCCTCCACAGCTCGTGCTCCCGACTCCCACTTCCCGGGGCCTCCAGAATCTTGGCCTGGGAGTCCCAGCCCTCTCCTCCTCCCAGAGGGGAGTCATGGTGGTGACCAGAGCAGGGTCTCAGGTGGTGCCTAGACTGAGCCGAGGGGGAGAGTTGGAAGAACAAGGCCCTGGGCCTGGCTGGAGGGTGGAGCTGGGCCCAGAGCCAGGGCACTGAAGACGTGGGCAGAGGCCCAGACAGCCCAGGTAAGGTCTGGACAGGCCCCGCACAATGAGCGCACCGGATACTAGGCCAAGTCTCTGCGGCAAGGCCGAGTCTCGGGCGGGTGGCTCCTGAAGTGAGGCCCTGGACTGGGCCAGGCAGTCAGAGGAGGACCTCAGTGACCTCACAGGGAGGGGACGGGCAGCCACACAGGGACTGGCAGGGATGAAGTCTGAGCAGGATTCAGAGCAGGTGGTCTGCAGGAAGCCACGAGAGGAGAGGCAGCTCAGACAGCCCCTGACCGGCCGGATGGGATGGGATAGTTACCTTTGGGGGAGGGTTTTCTTTCCTCCCAGCCCCAGGCTTTCCCAGGCGGTCCATGCTGGTTACCATCTGCTGTGGTGGTTGCTAGGGAAACCACTTACTATTTTTATATGTTCCCCACATGACAAGGCTGTGGAATGGCTCAGGTGTGGTAGGTCCAGGAGTGATCCTGAAAGCAATGCCCAGCGGGCTGGGCTGGAGACCTGGGCTGGAGGTTGGCAGCTGTTCTGATGCCCCAGGAAGGGGTCTGGGATTCAGAACCACATCCCTGAGAGTGGGTGGGAGGAGGTCACCAGGGGAGGGGTGACCTGGGTGTGAGGGTACCAGTGCTTTCATTCATTCATTCATTCATTTTATCAAACACAAGCATTGTGCGAGGTTGGCTCAGGACCGAGGGGTTTCCTGGGATGCAGGACTTCCAGTGCAGAACCTGGAAAGTCCAGAAAGGTTGGCCACCCTAGATGAGGCTCTCCTGTTTCAGGGAGACGGGCTCTTAAGTAGGCAATTACAGCAAAGTGGGTGAGTGTAAGCTGCCGGGGACCCCAGAGGTGGTCCATGATGCAAGAAATGGGTGGCACATATGTGAGTCATCTCTTGAGTGTTCTGAGGACTTCTAACCATTTGTATTCTTTTCTACATCATTTGTTTTGGGGGAAAAAGTCCCAGTGAGGACTGCCTCGGCTGCATGAACAACTTTGGCCTGAATTCCAAGCCAAAGAATTCTGCTTAATAAGTTCCAGGCCCGTTAGTCTTGGATGGCCATCAAGCTCCCAGCTTCCCGAGTGGGACCCAGGAACTCACCGTTAGACTCTCTAGTCTGAACACAGTAAAGAGGAAAGCAGAAGTCAAACCTGGTCCTCAGAAATTCTGCAGAGGGGACTGGTGAGGCAAAGGCGGCCTTTCTCCAAGTACTTCTGGGCCCGTCTGTATCACAGTCTCCCCAGAGCTCATTAAAAATGCAGTTCCAAGCCCTGGCCGCTGAGGCTCGGT